CGGAAAGAATGGAGGAATCTCTTATTCTTTCGCATCGCCAAGTGACCAAAATTGAATTTGCTGGTTGTGGCTGCATAGCAGCAACAAGGGCAGTAGCAACACACACACTTACATGATTATTGGAAAACATTGAGGGAGAGAAACGGAATAGAAAATCCACTATTCTTTTACCTAAATCAGTTGAAATTGTCGGACGAATTTAATACACACAGATTGCAAAGATTTATGGCCGAGTGGAAGCTGTGCCGTTCATTTGGTACCGGAAATCGGAAGTTTTCTACCATTATTCATTTCACTTTAACAAATTCACGTTGCTAGCAGTTTTCACATGCTCTGCCCATAATCGTTTCGCTTTCGTTTTCACTTTCTTTCATTCGGTCTCTCTCCGTCTAAAACACTACTCACAACCATTCGGTATTGGCTTTCTTCTTGTTGCTACGAACATATGGATTTAGTGAGAGAAAAAAAACCTTGGTTTCGCCTCTGGCGAACTCATTGTTATTCATAAGAGGGAATTTTTTCTTCCTTTCTGCACCGGAACGAACAATAAAAACCAAACGAAAGCACGTGCAATTCCAAATGGGCTTTCATTTTTAGGAGTTAGGGAAATAAAACAAATATTTTCAGTTGTAGAATTCTTCGATTAATTATTCATTTGCATGATTTTACGGTTTTTCCGTTGAGTGTAATCAATTTTTTTCTTCTTCTGTGAGCCACTGCTTCCTCATCATGATCGACAGTGGCTATTTTTGGCCTACGCATACATTCACTCATACAACCAATTTTTGGTCTATAAAACCAATTTACATTTAAACATCGTATAATTTGATTCCAAACCAACTATATCGATCATTCCGTTTTTATAGTCGCCAATTTTTGTTAATCGTCTCAAAAGAGAGGCAAAAAGAAAATGCGTCACCGGGAAAAATCAAGAGCGAATCATTTTAGTTAAACAGCTTGTAACATTTATGAATAAAAAACAACAACTACAATATGAAGACTTAGATCAATATCAACATCATTATCCTGACCATTTATCAAAGCGTCAATTACTTTAAGCATTTTTGGGGTATGCTGAAGTAGGTAAAAGAGTATACAGGAACTGCGTCACATACACTCAATGAAGGAATAGTGACAGCAGCAGCAGCAGCAGCAGCAGCAGTAGCAACGGCAGCAACAACAACAACGATAACAGTGACATCGTCCATCGAAGGCAAACATCCGTTGTGCCTGTGCTTGCCATCGTTTTATGTGCTCAAGAGTATGAAGATTTCATCCCATTGAAATATTGACTGAAAAATACTCGAGGAAATGTTAGAAGAAATGTTACCAGGCAGAGACGAGACTGCCGCACTTTATTTTCTACGTTAACAAAAGCATATCGCAAAGCAAGCACCAGTCGAACTGACTGTTTGTCCGTCATGCTATTTACACAAGGCTATCAAAAGCTTTCGGCCTGAAATATATGTTGACGCGCCGAATGCTTGGTCTCTCTCTCTCTCTCTCTCTCTCTCTCTCTCTCTCTCTCTCTCTGTGTGTGTGTGTGCGTATTCATGAACCGTAAAAAACGATGTACTATCTCAATTGGCTTAATTGATGTTTTCGCACCGTAACGTTTCTACGATTTCTTTTCGGCTGTTCCTTTTTGCATTTTCTTTTTCTTTTCCTCGTACCCGAGAGTAGACCGAGACGATGGTGTGCACCAAATTTGATGTGAGGCGGAGAGAGACACACAACGGGAGTTTATTTAATCATTACTGAAAATTCATTGCGAACGAAAATACTGGAAATTTCGTGTTGTCATTGCGCACTTCTCGGAAATTTAGTCAACATGTTCACTGTATCACAAATGTATAAAACACGTACGCGAGAATAAAAAAGGGAACGATAGGGCGAGAGAGTGATATAGAGAGAAAAACACAACAGCAATACCAGTGAATTTATTTTATTATCATTTCGAATTGTTTCACGTGCTTCATTTGATTGCGAGAAAAAAAAAGGTTACGCGATCCAATTACAATATTCCATTCGACAAAAATGCCATTTGTCTTTTATTCGCGTGGCGCTTTTTTTTACTGACTCGTGTGTCCACTACCTATGAATAAAATGCGAAGCGTCCATTTCAACAGAAACAAAATGGCAAAATAAAATATATTGAACATTTAAATTGAATCAACGCGTTACGCTTTTTTTCCTCTGCGGAAGCAGAGAAGAACATTAATGAGTGTTTCTGCTTGGTAATAGATTGCTTTCGAAGCGTTTTATTTACTTGCAATGAAATGATTCTCTTCATTTTGAACCTTTAATTAGTAACATGTCTATAGGTGAGACTGAGAGTAGTGTATGTTTCACTGACTTTGTTATGAAAGAGAAGAGTAAGTTTCTTTCGACTTAAAAGTGATTAAAGGCGAGTATGTACATTTTTGGCGGGTGGTTACGGTTTTTTGCGGTTGGAACTGATAAAAGATAACAACTTGGTCACTTCGGCAAAATTGTAGTACTCGAGATCTTCTATAACTTAGCTGAAGACAGCTATCTCTTAGCTCTTATCCTCCTACCGTGGAGGCTAGACGGTACGCCAACATACTCTACTTTAACGCCAACCGAATCATCAGAAAACATACTCCACTCTGAATCTCACCCATAGATGTATAGAATTTGTTATTCGAAAATTGCAAATTCATTTACCGTTGGCGCAAACAAAAGTGCGCGTACCTCGGAAACGGCAGCAGCAGCAGTAGAAACTAAAAAAGGAAGAATGGAGGTGCGGCAACGAATTACTTCCTCTGCCATTTCTGATACAATCAAGTAAATCCTATTATGTTCTGTGTTGTTTTAATTTCGATAATGAACAAACCAAGCTCAGCAAATATATATATATGTGTGTGTAAAATTTGGGGACAATGTGCGGCGGCCAAACATAAATAAGATTGTGTGTTTTTCTGGGAAATAACAGAGCGACGTACGCCAACAACTGAAACGACAGAGAGCGAGGAAAAAAGAGAAAAACGTTTCCATTTTGATATTTCAGCAGCATGACACATGACTCATAAAAGTGTCCATGATGTATTCTCTGCTCAAATGAACAATTAATAAGAACATGACGATGAGCGGAGAGCGAATGAGCGGGAAAAAATCGTTCCGAGCGTCAAATATATTTACGCCATTTGTTTTTATTACGGCAGGGCCATTCTATGATGCCAATTAATCCATCGTAAATACGATGATGAAGTAGAAAGCAAAGCGGCGAGAAGAAAATACACTCACTCACTCACTCTTTCACTCACATCGTCTAGCCCTGATGCCAAGTAAATTGGAATGATTTTGTTTACAATACGCTATTTGCCATGTGTTTTATTATTAGAATATCAATAAATAGTATCGCACTCGAGATAAATACGCTCAATGTCTGGATGCTCAATGTTTGCAATCAATTTAATTGGCCATCGAAAAATATCGAATCAAAATTCAGATACGTAATGATTAGGTAATCATGTGATGCGTCTCTCTTTCTCTCTCACTCTCTCTCTCTATCGCTTGCCCGAATTGCGTTCTAACTTCATCCAATTTATTTAAAGGTATTTAAAAAGCAACGAAATGTTGATCGCACCTTTTTTTTATGCTTTACCCATGACTCAAAATAGACGAGCCATAAATACAAACGAATTTCAAGAACTCTCCGTATTATTCCTGTCAACACCGAATGATGCCAACTTGAAAGTCGAAGTCCATGCTATGCACATTTTAATGAAACTAACAAACTAACAAACCGAACAACAACAAAAAAAAGGAACTGCGTCGTGTAATCCAACTCAAAACAATGTTTATGGGATTAATTTAGTGTTTTTTTCTTCTTCTGCTGAATTGTCAAAATGGAAATTGTGCGAAAATAAACAATAAAAGCGTCATAAAAACGAACAATTGTTCGACAAATGTCCAAATTGCAATTTCACTGTTTATTTTATTCGTTATACAATCCATGTGGTCGTACACTGTTTTCTGTCTCGCTGTGTGCGCGACTGGGCAAAAGGCAATTTACTTTTCGATTTCGATGGCTCTCTGTGTTTCTATTGCGTGGCCGTTATTTCTGTTTAATTTCGCATCGAATTTCCTCGTAGTCACACCGATCTAGTTGTTGGTTGTTCTTTTTTTTTGGTGTTTGCACATTTCTCTGGCTCACTATACATTTGAGTGACTTGTTCTGGACCAGCCTTTATGAAATATATACGGCTTTGAGTAAACACATACACTCTCTCCATGGCGCGTCAGTCGCGACACAAACATTCGGAAAATTTCAAACAAAACAAGCTAAATCTGCTATAAAGTCGATCGCGATCAGGTTGACCATTCTTTTTGTGATATATTTTAATGAAATACACATATGTATATACCGTGTGTGTGTGTGCCCCACACCAAATCAACCACGACACAACAATTCAACTTATTTTGAGAGCATTTAACAATTCGGTGACCATTGAATGTGAGTATGGACACACGCAATACCGTCCACACAGATCGGTCAACCGTATACGGTGTTGATGTATGCTATTAACTCTGTGTAATGTCACAAATAGAGAAAAATCTCAAAACAGCGGCACATACACACATCAAACGGACTCAAAGGATCGTGTATTACCGAGCGATTTTCCTTTGAATGTGTATGAACAGCTGTGATTAACAAAAATACACACATTCTCTTACTCTCGTTGACTGAAAAACCGACGTGCCAACGAACAAACACTAGATCTCGGTCGGTGCTAAAGCAAAGTACACACAGTATTTCTCGCATCATTTTATTTAAACGCTACGATTGTTTGGATCGTTTTGTTGTAATTTTGTGAGTGCTCAAAAAGTAACGAAACAACAACCAGAATAAAGACCGAAAAAAAACGTTTTTCGACAGATTTTTTTTGAATGGTGTGAATTATGATAACATAAAAAAAAGTTCTCGTTAATTTTATGACAATAAACTGAGATATTTTCACAAGAAATAGGTGTGATATTGTGTTTGGTTGTTTTTGTTGCAAAAAGTTCAATTTGGGCTACAACATTTTAGTGCAAACTAAACAGTGGATAATTGTGTTCTTTTGACAACGATATTAACGAGCTTATTCCATTCTTTTAGTGGTCTTTCCTTGCTTCTTCTTGATTCTGTTCGATGAATGCCATCGATGCTGACTCGCTTGCAATGGCAGTAAATAAGAAGTTAAACTGCAAAATTCACTATTGAATGCATTCCCTGCATTATATAGATAATGAACAAAAAACACACACGGTGTGAAAAAGCTTTTAAAAGAAATTAGCTCGGAACCTAAGTCATAACTTGTTATTGCCACTAAAGTATGAACACCCGTCGATTTTTTGTGTGTGTTTTGTTTTAACGGTAAATCGTAAAATGGCACGAGTAAACTTACACTCTTTTCGAACCCGTGCAATACGTTTGTGTTTCCCGGGGGAGTGAAAGAGCAATACTTTTGTGTCATTGTGCTGCGCTTCTAGCGTTATTTGTTATTCTTTTTCTTTCTTCATCGATGGAAAAACGTAAGCAACAGACGTAAGAAAGAAGAGGAGACGAAAAAAAAACGATGCGAAAAAGCGATTTAAATAGTCTAAATATTCCGCGTGACTTTGAAAAATGTGATGAAAATAAGAGGAGCAAGAAATGTGAACGAAAATGACGTATGACAGAAGTTGTTGTTTTTTCACTTCGTTCGGTTCTGGCTTCATTCGAAAATAATAATAACATTGCGACGAGTACAAGCAGCTCCAATAAACAAATTTTCTTGTTATTTTATTTCGTTTTCGTGAAGTTTTTTTTCCGTTTCTCTTTCCCGACTGGGCCATAATCCATCGATTTACATAAATCGCGGATCATTTCGCATGAACGAGAGAAACCGAGAATGAAAAGCACACGTCATATTGAAACGACAATAATTCTAGAAAATTGGTTTGTTTCACTTGACAATCACATTTCGTTTTTACGCTTTGCTCATTCGCACAAGTGACGCCATCGAAATATGTATGAACTGCAAGCTTCAAAAATAGCTAAACTGATTTTAACTGAAAGAAAAAAGTGGATGGCGAAAAAAATATATATATTGGATTTCCCACTTGTATGCGAAACTCAATCTCGGGCACAAAATATTGAAAATCGTTCAGCAAAAGTAAAAAAAGAGAAGAAAAAAAAAAATATTTCGATGCAAACAAGATTTGCTTTGCTAGTCTCTCTCACTCACTCACTCTCTCTCGTCAACCGTGTCGATGAAATATATGATATTTTCAATAGATTTCCGCCAAAACAACTGAAGAAGAAGAAAAAACAACACGACGAGAACAAGAAGTTCAGACGAAAAATTCTTAAAATCGCACTAATAATCGTTTAAATGCCATGTGCTACATAGGTAACAGTAAATTTAGTAACGACTCTTTTTTTTCGGTCGTTTCCCCATTTGCTTGCCCGAATCCGCTTGCTTCGCAATCGTCACCGTCGTCGTCGTTCAAGTGAATTATGAATCATTTTTAAACGGGAAAATAAATACGCTTTGGAATGTGTTTGAAAAATATTTTCGGAAAACTTACTCTAGTCACCGCTCAGTGACTTCCCGAGTGTCGTGAGTTTCGACAAGAAAAAGGAAACAAAAATGCTGAAACATGAATTGGAACACATCAAAAATATCACAAGTGTACAAATGAAGTTAGAAACTGTTACCGAATATGAACGCTGTTGCGGAAAAAAGTGCTTGACCAAATGGCCATAATCACAATGGCTGGCAAGCGTTCGTCAGTTATTGTTCCATAAAGTAATGCGACCACAGTTGAGAAAAATAAAAAACACCCATTCTAATTTTACAAGTTTATCCAAAACAATTCGTTGGGGACTCTTCGTTCCGATTTCGTACACAATTTTTCACTGTTTCAAATCACATACACACACTTATTCAATGTACAGTCCCTCACACAATTGTGTTCCTTTTTTCATCCTCTCTCACTGCAATAGCAAATAGCACACTGGTGAATAAAAATTTCTACCGAAACCTAAAACAAAACTCAAACGAAAAAAACAACAGAGAAACAGTAAAATAAATTCTAGACAGAATTTTTTTTTCATGTAAATGAGTGAGTGAGCGCTAAACGGAGAGCTATCCACAATCCATCTCTCCCTCTCTCGTGCAATGTGATGCGAACCGTGTTGATGAAACATAATAAATTTGAACAAACATTTCACGGGAATAAAAACAAAACAGAGAAAAAAATGTTAAACCATAAGCAAAACGATCCATCACCATTTACGAAATCGCCGAAAATCCGGGGCAAAATCGTCGATTTCACCTCTGACAAAGAGCCGTATCATCATCAGCCGAGTGTGATCGATAGAGCTCGACTGACATTGTTTAATTTAACTGACATATGGAAATCGAAAATTGATTCAAACAAAGTGAATAAATCGTGTGACTCAATCGCGGCAAATCGAAAAGCGCTTGATGTGCTCACCGTATGGACACGGCACCGACGATCACCGTCCGCTGAACCGGCATACTCAACCAAATCACACAAACGGAGTTTGTTTATTGAAAATGGTGATGACGAACGTTGGTACATCGATAGCAGTAAAACGTATGCAAAATTGGCAAACGGAAAAAGTAAATCAAAGTGCCATGATGGTTCCGATAAAGGAAAGAATAAGCATAAGCAACTGAAGGAATCAAAAATGCATGCACGTCGACGTTCCTATGATGGTGAATTGAATCAGCTATGTTTCGATGTCAAAAGTGGAGTGCGATTGCCAAAAATGCGGCACAGACGCCGATCTTGGGGCAATTTAGCGTGCGATCCGAACGATGATCAGTGCTATGCCAACAAAATGTTGACGAGTGATCGTAAACGTGACAAAATCGTTGAAAATCATCCGAGCATTTCGAAGGCTCGTTTGAAGTTTAAAAAAATTAAGACATGTGATGACCTCTATGCGAACGAAATTGTTCGAGAAAAACCAATAAAAGTTTTGAAACGCCAGACATCCGTTGTGCCAATTATCACCATTAACGATTGTGGTAATGGCGGCGGTGGTTGCATCGCTGAACAACCAGCGGCTAAAGACACAAAAAAATCCAAATGCGATGAGAAAGCCAATGAATCGTCCGGGGAACCAACGACAAAACCAAAGAAAAAACTTTCATTCCGTGAACCAGTCATTTTTAATGAAAAGCTTAAAGAACTACGTGCAAAACATTCGGCAAAAAATCAAAGCAGCTCCGAAGACGAAGAGAAGATTGTCTCAAACGAATCGATGGATATGAGCCAAGTGCCACTCGAGGTAGAAATGCATGGAATGACGTTCAAACTTTTTATTTGATTTAATTGAATTTGAAGAGAGAGTCTCTCTCTCTCTCTCTATCTCTCTTTTCTACTCTGTGTGTGTGCGAGCCTTCACCATTCAAAATCGTTCAATTTTCGCTTTTGGCCATGTTTTTCATCGATGCTTTTACTTTAAGTTCACCAGTTTATTTTTTTTTCAAGCCACTCTAGAGACGTCTTTCTGTTTCTCTTTCTTTTTCATTGCAGTCACAAGCCATGCGCATCGTTCGAACCATTGGACAAGCTTTCGAAGTGTGTCACAAATTTAGTCTTCAGAAAAATTCCATGGTAAATGCAGACGATCAGTCGGAATCTCAATTATCGGACCGATACTCGGCTGAGCACATCAGTGACGAGGATGAACCCAAGAAAGGTAAAATCCCATTTTCATTTTCATGCAATAAAATAAATCACGTTTTAGTGTGCTATCGGCAAGGACTTCATCACTTTTATTTACACATACAATGTCATAGAGTTAATAAATGATTCAATAAAAAGAAACGAATGAGCACATGTCGAACTTTGAAATTCAACATGTAAATTCACTGTTGCGAACCGACAAAATATAATATATGTAGGCCAATGAAAATAAAGTTAGACGAAACCTATAAATCGACACGAGAAAAAAAAGTGTAAAGTTTGCATTTCACAGTAAAACGCTTAAATATTATTTATTGCCTGAAACCGCCTAAAACTCTCAACTGATGAGCGATATGCAGCATCCGAAACACGACAACAACATCCGTGCTCTCTAGTCGAGAGACACGAGAATGAGAATAAAAATCGAAAGAAAAAAACAAATTCGACGCAAACTTTGTGAAATTCGAATAACATTTGCTCGCTGGCTAAACATAGCAGAGCAGGAAATTTGCCTTCATTTTCACGATAAATTATTGAACATGTGTCAATGGTATGGCATAACAGTTTATGTTATTGATTCCATTAATTTTCGAATTATTATATCCTTTTTGCATGCATTGCGTTATTCAATTCCTTTCAGCTGTCGGGAGTATGTGTGTGTGATATATGAAGATGCCTCTATTCTGATTCTCTGTGAATTCTGGTGGTATTAACTTTATGATGAATATAATTTAAATAGACTTTTGCTGATTTAGTGTTTAAATGCAAAACTCTGTCGTGTTCAAATGCAAAAGTCGGTAGATAGAGAGAGAGTGTGTGTGAGAGAGAGAGAGAGAGAGAGAGAGAGAGAGAGATGGAGCGAAAATGAGAAATATGTGCGATAGAGAAAATTCGTCGGAAAATGTATTTCAATGAATAATATTCTAAAATTTTCAATGTGCAATCACGTTGCATGAACAAAAAAAGAGAGATACAAGTTGCGCGCGCGACAGCTGTAAAGAAAGATGATATAAACACAAGTCGGAAATGCGCTGTCGGCACAGCCTGCGCGTGAGAGCTCTAAACTTGCACACACTGTGTTTGTTATATTTTCAAAAGTTGAAATCTATTCTACAACACTTTCCCATTAATTTACTAATTCATTTAAAATAGACATAAGAAGCAGTTGAGAAAATATCATCATCATCATCACCATCCGTTTTGTAATGAAACGTGGCAAACGAATGGAAGAGCCGGCGATGATGATGATGCTGATGATGGTGGTGGCGAAGGCATTGTCGACGTTTGACTTCTTTTGTGAGTGTTCTGAATGTGTGCAAATCCCTACATAAATTGAGAAAATAATACCCGATCATATTGGCATTCTTCTTTTATTTTCCGTTGAACATTTACTGATATTCGATTGCATTGAAATTGACGCAGGTAATAGCATTAAAAGCTGCGATTGTCTCTGCCATAATAAAGGATTAATGAATACGATTTGAATACTTGTCAAAACTCGGAACATTATAAACGCTTTTAGTATTAATCTCGTTATTCGTATTGTTCATATGGGAAGTGAACGCGAACACACACACACACACACACATATTCTTTTTGCTTTCAATGCAGGCGAATTCGTGCGGAAAACTTTTTCCATGCATGTATGTGAAATGAATGTGTGCTCCATTTCCACCCATTCCTCTTGTTCGCAAGCGAAATGCGATGAGTTTTATTGCATTGCATTACATCGAGCAACACCGTATGACATTTTGACTTATGCCATATGTAAGACTATGAATTTTAATGGGATGAAATGCAAAACGATACTTTTTTTTTAACTCATATCCGATTTCTTATTTCCACCAAAATGCGCTCGTTTCCAAAAATACGGCGCGCTACCGCCCGTACTCGTGTTACACCGACACAAGCCCTGTCAGAGCGAGCGAGCGAGCAGAGGGAGCAAGTGAAAGAGTGTATTGTCATTTTTTTACCCATGCACATTTAGATCATATAAAATCGAATATAATGTGTGCGACAATGAAGTGTAAATAAAGCAATAACAATTTTCATCGAACATAAAACTGATTATTCCGATTGCAGCGATTGGTTGACAAAAGCATTGTTCATGCGATGATACCGCTATTGCTACTGCTGTTGCTACTGCTACTGATGCTGCTTTGTTGTGTCGCCCGATTCAGGTGTGGTGTGCGATGAATCGGAGACGCGTCAAACGTTAAATATAAAATGTTTCAGCCAGGAAATGTTAAAGTCAAGATGAAAAGAAAAGTGAACACAAAAAACCGGTGCGCCAACATTGTGTGTGTATTCAGTGAATTCTGTCGCTGGTGGAAGAAAAGCAGCGCACACCCTTCAATCGAATTTTGCACACGAATAAACCAGTGCTAAATTATTCATATAATATCAATTTTATTATTATTTTTTCGCAACACCAGCAAATTCATGCATCGCAGATGAAACATAAAACCCTAAAAGTCAGGTTAATCGGATCATGATTGTCAAGTAAGCTGAGACGAACTCATGCTTAAATAAAGTTAAAGATGAGGCGAGAGACTCATGGCTGGCTGGCTGGATGGCTTGCGTTTTTTTTCTATTCCACTCTTGCACATACCCACACACACACACACACACACACATGTACACACGCTGTATTCAATGTTCGGTGGATGATTTTGTGGAACGTACGTAATACGATTCATTTATTTCATCGATCACCTTACGTCGATATTATCCTGACTAATATCGTTGGACTGGTAGCTTGCACGCTCGCTTGCTCTGGCTGTGTGACACACATAATTTAAGACTTTTCTTTTTTTTTATATCGGTTGAAAATGTTACCAAGAGAGAAACCGAAGAGGAATCGCATGAAAAATGCGAGATAAATTGACTGTTTCTCATATATTCGATGCTGTGAGCGTGTGTGTATATGTATCGAATACTCGCCTTGAGTCAAACCATCAAATTGAGCGCATCTATTCTGATTTATTTTACATGAGCGCCGGCTATGTTGGGTGTGTGTGTGCGATGCTTTGCTTTTTTACGATGTATTCTTTCGGATTTTTCATGTTTGACATGAAACTAACTCTCAACTCACATGGGTGCGTTGCAACATCGAAGCACATGGATTTTATTCAACGTATCTCGTGTCCTGTCCATGTCATCATCGTCGATAAGGAATCAGTATGTCAATAAAAGTTGAGAGCAAAGAAGCAACACCAACAACAGTAGAGTACAAGAAGCAAAGAGAAAAGCACCGGTATTGGTGAACCATCTTTTAAAAATAGCATATTCATTGACTCTCTCTCCTTCCTCTCTCGCAGTCGTGTGTGTGTTTGTGTGTGCATGAATGCATGTAATAGAAAGATCTTATCTCTCGGTTTCAAGACTCTGGTTTCGGTTTTTATTATTTTCTTTTATTTTCTGTGTATTTCGTTCTTCTGCGTAACTCACACACACATACACACACATCCTTCAATACATCGTTGAAAAGTCGTACGTGTCTATTGGTAATGCCATAAATAAGAATATCGATACCGTCGAGAAAGGATGAAAGCTTTGCGGCAGGATTGACACGATACGATTGCACACCATTTTTTCTTTCACTTCGATGATGATGACGACGACGACAATGCAAAAACCGCATGTGTGTTAGTTGTATGTGTGTACCAAAACCCAGTTTGAGTTCGAGTTTGTGGTTTCACATCGGAGAGCTTATTAGCAGTGCTTGACATTTCCATTTGCATCAACACGAAGACAGAGAGCCAGAGCCAGGGAGCGAGAGACAAAGAGGCAGAGTGAAAAAAAAAACAGAAACTGAGAGAAACATAGACTTTGCTCAAGTTCCCTGCAATGCAAAAGGTTCAAGGCAATCCGAAAATAAACTCCAATGTTTTTTTTTTCTTTCATTCTGTCGAAAAATTAATTACTCGATTTCATTCAAACCATCCGCAAAAAGTCTATCTCGATAAGCATGTGTGTATTGCGTTTTCGTGGCTTACAACATTTTGAAATTCGGTTTTGTTGTGATTGAAACATTGTGGCTGCGATTAAATTTAAAATCTAAATCGACAAACGAACGGAATGGAAATATCGAATACACACAGAGGAAAAGTGAGAGAGATGGCGGAGATTGGGGGAGAGTGGGGGGGGGGTGGAATTACTTGACGTAAAACACGATTGCGAAATCAATGCATTCGACGATAAATTTGATGTCGGAAAACTAAATGAAATGTTGCAATATCGATCGAAATGCAAACAACAGCACACCGCACCCATGTTTACCGCAGAATGAAGGAACAACAAGTCAATGTGCAATGTAAAGAAAATCGAAGCGAACGGAGAAAAAAGAAAGTCATTTCATTAAACTCCTGATGAAATTGTTTGCTCAATTATGTGCGGCATGTGAAGATGAATGTGATGACGATGACGATGAGCTTGAGCAAACAATTCAGCCAGCCAACGACAATGAGACGAAAATATCTACATTTTGTACTCGCTGCACAACACGTACAAAGACACAATGCAGCTAGAGCATACAATAAACACAAAGTTTCTCAGTGGTTTTCGTCGATATTCGTCAGCTAGTAATCAATTAGGCCTATTCACTGATTTACTCTGAGCTACACCACAGGCCATAAGTTTGGATACCCCTATGAATGAATTTGGCCCAAAATTTTTAAATTTCAAACCGCTTGTCCAATTTCAACATGCTATACGTCGTTGTAAAGGTCTCGGAGAGTACGTATCATTTTTGGTATTAAACATCAAAATCGGCCAGCTTTTGGCCAAGATATGGTTGATTGAAGATTTCGGCCAAAAATTACAAACGGCCATATCTTGGCCAAACGCCGGCCGATTTTGATGTTTAATACCAAAAATCACACCTACTTTTCAAGACCTTTCCAATGGCGTATATAACTTTTTAATCCGATGGCCCGTTTTAGACTTCGATTTTGGCTCCCACAGGTCAAAGGCCAAAAGATGGCCATAGGCCGACCAAATTTTATCTTCCAAATCATCCATTCGGTCAGAATTTCGATATATTTTCATATCCAATACTAAATTTCAAGTGAAAATGTTCAAAAAACGTAGAAACAAACGTTTCATAGGGGTATCCAAACTTATGGCCTGTGGTGTATGTATGTCCGTAGTTTCAACTCGGTAAACTCTTACTGATTTCATATTTCGCATTCATTGAACCAAACAATGTACTTTGACATTTTATGGTATGATAACCGCATACACACACACACACACACACACACACGGTGAGGCAGACAAAAACTTCGTATTCTAATTAGGATTTATGCAATTAGGTTGATTTTCAACGTTTTTCCCTCCTCCCAAAAAACTGAAACCCATTCATCCGTTTCGTAGAACTACCGTTGTAATGATAAAGAGAAAAACAACACTCAAGGATATTATTTTCGTTGTTTGTGCTCAATTAATTAAACAATAGGAATTACCGGGAATTAATACCTTCATGTTTTGTTGAATCTGAACTCTGCTGACACAGAGAGAGAAAGACGGAGTGGGATAGCGAAAAAGATTGCACGTGAAACTGTGTTGTGTCCCACAAAATCATCTGTTTACTGGTTAGACATTGTACAAATATCGTAATCATTTCGAAGCGCATTTAGAGCACGTACTTCGTAAGTGGCTACAACAGGATTTATTGCAAGATAAAACAAGTTTCGCTCGAGCGAGCAAGCGCCCGTTTCAAGTGAATTGTGAAAGCGAAAAGAAAACAAACAAAAGGAATCAAGGCATCAATTGACGTCAACGACGACGCACTTGTTCAGCGCAGAGAGAGAGAGAGAGAGAGAGAGAAAGAGAAAAACCCAACACGAGATGGCCAACAACATCAACAAAATAAACGAAAAATATTTATATTTACATCTTTCTCTCTCGGTGAATTTGATTTATATATTACGAGGGAATACGCATCCGTTTGCTACCATCAAACGCAAAACAATCGACAAAAACACATTCACATTATGCGCTCTTAAGCGCGAACCTAGTCGCCGTCGCGTTTACGATAGTTTTTTTCATGTTCTCTTTCTCTTTCTGTGTAGCAGAAATTATTCACGTTTAATTGGGAACAGTTAGTAAACTGATTTGCATGGTAAATGCTAAAAGTAAATTAACTCATTTCACGAATGAACTCAAACATATTAATTTATTTGCCCGATGTATATGTATGACGATAAATCCGGAAAAATGCTCGCCAATTTCATTTTCCACCTTTGATTATTGTTATTGTTTGTTTGGATTAATGAATTTTGGGTTTGAAATTGAAATTGGCGCCTGATGATTGAATTTGCTTGAAAAATAAATAAAAGTGATTAATTGCGGTGGTTTTATGACCGAAAAATCTCCATAGTCCAAACTAGTGTACGTAGTTAGATTTTATGAGCTTTTCTATTTATACATTTGGTGCTCTGATGCTTATTTACCTTTTTTTTCTTGGTATTTTTTTTAGATCCAATTCCGGTCACACCTGAATCCACTTTGAAACGGCCAACTCATTTGGATTTGATGCCAGTTTCGAATTTCACTCCGAAAAAATCACCGAACGTAAGTCAATTTAAAGCAAGTCAGTGGATTTGATGTTTTTTTCCTTCTTCGGTTCATCCATAACCATGGTTATGTACCAATTTGATTGCATTTTCCGACATGACACGTTTTTTTTTCTATCCCGTTCGTTTGCAGGAGAGTAATGACGATAAATCACCGAGCGCACCATTATCAACGGCATCGGAAATTCAGCATTTGCGCGATCAATTAGAACAACAGGCGATGCAAACACGTGAGGCTCTATTTCAACTGATGCAAGTTCGTGAGCAATTGATCAGTGAAACGAATGCACGTATCGAAGCACAGGTGCGTATCAATATTAACGCTTGATTCATTTGAATGTCGTTTTGACTTTGATGAAAATGATGTTAACTGTGGATGTGATTTGGGTCTATTTTTTCTCTCTTTTTTCTTTCTTCTCTGCTCATCGCTTATCGTCCATGGTTCAGGCAAGAACGCAACAGTTGCTGCAACAGAATCGAGAATTGCTCGAGCATTTGGCTTCACTGGGTGGTTACACGTACACAGAAAATGAACGAGCTGGCCTAACATCGGCAAACATCAGTCTGGCACCACAGGTAGCATAACTGCACTTGCCCTATCCCCTACCTCATATCCTTTTCGATTTGAATTTTTGTTTTTCGCTTCCCAACACAACATTTTTTTTCACATGATCTGACCATGAATGACACGCATGACATGTGTGTTCGACTGTGCTTGACTCTCAAATGTGAGAATAACCAACTTTTTTCTACCGTTAATTTATCCGTGCTCGCTCTAAAAACATGCCGTTGCTGTCAAAAAAAATTTCTTCTTTTTTTTCGTTCAACTTGTGTTATGACATGAAACTTTTGTGTAACGTTATGATTTTTTTCTCTCGTTTGCATTACATAAAAATAAGAATAATAATTTGCTTTTCGTTCTGTGATTCTAATTTCGATTTAATTTAATGTCAAAAAGATGCTTTGATGTTTTGCATGATTTTTGTGAGTTTTTTTGATTATTGTTTGATTAATTTGCAGGTAAGTATGATTTGTTTTTCTTTTCTCAAAGTTAAACTTTTTTTTTCATTATTTCCTTCATTGTTGTTTTTGTCCGTATCCATGTGATGATTTTTGTTTCCTTTTTTTTGATTCGTTCAATTTCAGTTTGGAAATTAATGTCATTTAAATTGCAATGTACAAGTTACACACAAACACAAAGACACAAAAAATGGGACCAAAAGTGGCACAAACACAAATCACAATGAAAACAAAAAAAGAACACACTCACTCACACACAATTAAGAATGAAAAACCATTGACCATTCAATTTCATTCCCGTTTCAGTCGCCCGTCACCTTATTTGGCTCTGAGCAGGGTGAATGTGGTTCACCTATTCGTAAATCATTTGTTATGACACCGAATAATAACAGTATTGCGACCATAAATCAGCAGCTCAACAATTTGGGAACAATCAATCAGCAGCTCACACAACTCAGCCAACAATTGAGCGGTTTAAATCAGCAGAGCCAGAATTTGCAACAATTTCAAAATTTCGGCAGCAATTTAAATACCGTATTGAATACAATGCCAAATTTAAATAGCATCGTCAATAGTAATAGTTTTAACAACAACAACAACAACAATAACAATACTAGCAATAATTGTACGAATAATAACAACAACAACAACACAAAGCTCACGAGCAATTTCATACAGAGCGATTTATTTCAATCGAATCAGGATTTATTGAATCGATTGCAAAATCTTAGTTTAGGTTTCAGCAATAATAATAGTATTATGAATACACCGAACAGTTCGTTGTTGAGTCACATTCTCAACGGAGGTGTCCAATCAACGGCAATGAATTGCAGTACCAGTACTAGTGCCAATGTTATAAATAACAACAACAACAACAACAATGGAAATTTGCTGAATTCGCCATCGAGCTTGAGAAATTTAACGCCATCGCCGGTATTCAATCGAAGTCCATACTCGAGCAGTCCAATGTTGGACAATAATTCGCCGTTAACCACAATGACAGCGACTACAATCCCAACACCAGCGGCCGAATGCAGTAACATATATAGCGATGATACGGCCAAATTTCTCCGATCCATTTCGGCAATACCGCTCAGTGGCAGCGTACTCACCAATTTTGATTCGGCCGACAAATTTCGACCGGTAACACCAATTCCATTGTTATCATCTGATAGCAAGAGCAATACGCTCACCTCATCGGGATCGTCAGCATCGATTGCAACGACCATTGGCAGTGGCACCATACGAAAGAATGATAAACGGGTCACTTTGCCCGATTTCACGCTTCATATCACCGACGAGTGTGGCAACATCATGAATTCCAAGCGTTTGCCATCATCGGCTACACCCAGTACAATAACGAGAACCACTAGCGAAAAAGTACCACGAAGTCAATTAATGAGCGAGGTGCAACGAACTGCATGGGCAAGACACACAACCAAGTAGATAATAATAATGCGATCAGTTTGACCATAGATATTCTGTTAAAAATTTTTATTCTCAATTCCGTTTATCTCTATCTCTTCATTTCGATTTGGTTACCACTTCATATCACCACAATTAGACCGAAAACTAGGCATACCATCAATTTTCATCTAAATTTACCCCGTAATGCATACACTCAGTTCAAGCCAAAATAGAAACACAAATCCAAAACGCTCAATTATGATTATTAGTACGTGTCACTTGTTATTTATATCGCATTAAAATTATATCAATTTATTTAAGTAACAGTTGAAGTGCTTCCTTGGCAAAAATTGAAGCAAACATACATGATTTGCCTGCACAGAAAAAAAAAACCTCAAACACAAACACAAACATACACACCGAACGAACGAGGGCGATCGAAATGAATTTTTGCTCAAAAGGACTATCTTTACGTCTACCATTTAATGTACACCTAGTGTTATTTATCTCTATGTGATGTCTCTCTATTGAATTGCATGGAACATTTTTTATTTCCTGACTTTGTTAGTTATTATCTCTCCACACACCAAAAAAGAAGAACATTATTGTAACATTAGATGTTTTACTGAACCAAAACATATATTTTACACATATCGACCAACAAAAAAAAAAAGAACAACATAAATATCGGCTCAGCGGTCATCACACGGTAACAGGAAATACAAGGAAAAGGATAAAAACTCACATAGAACACTATTTATATTCCCCGTTTAAGAAAAAAAATGATTATATTAGTTGATGTTATTTGAACGGAAAAAAATGATGAAAAGGATATCAAAAGCTCTAAGAATTAGTTTTTGAGTGATAGTCGGAAACAAAGAAAAACAAAAACTACAAAACTCTTTCGGCCAAAATGAACGAAACCAAAGCGAAAAACACGCAAAATATACATTGCTCAACTTCGGAATGATGAATATATGAGAGAAACATTTATTATTGAGATCGATCCTTTCACATGTTGTATTATTGTGTAACTGAAAACTTTTTAATTTATTATAATAAATATACAATTAAAACACATTCAAATACCAAAAATGGTTCATTTGTTTTTGTAAGTTTTCACACGATGCAACACGGTAAGTACTGTGAAAATAATTGGTAGCATTTTGAAATTCAATGGAAAATGCAGTGGGCGCTCAAATTACAGCAGCATTTTCAATGCAAAGCCACATTTCTTGGCATTCGAAATGTTGACGTGAACAAGTTTTCCTTGAATGCGGCTACCAAATAAATGTATACGAAATTGTTTTCGCTTGCCAATTAGAGTGGATTGTGATCACAAACTCCGTAAACAATCGAAACCTAAGCGATAGAGTACTTTCTCTCTCTCTCTCTCTCTCTCTCTCTCTCTCTTGCTTCTCCGTCACAAATTACCCATCCATTTAAAGAGGAAAACACTGAACAACGCAGCAGCAAGCACACAACGGCACACGTTCGCCACGTTAAAATAAAGTATCACTGCGAATGAATCATTCAGTGTTTTCTTAATTGACCGTGTAAAAGTATTCAGTTCGCACATTACGTGCTCTTTTTTTCTCCATACTTTTTGATTTTCTCGATTTTAATCTTCAACTTACGAACGGACATCAACTTACAACCCTTTTTTTCCCGTTCCGTTCTTCGAAATGTTTTCAACATTGTAACAGCGAAGAGGTTGCACTCAAGTGAAAATTGTGCATGGATGAATTGTACAATGGGAATGAAGAGAAAATGAAATGTGAGAATACATCGAATGGGAAAGAGAGAGGGATGAAAGTGATCTTGAGATGGATTTGAAAATGCATGTTTGGCAAATAAAAAAGGAGAAGAAAAAGATTAAGCAGAGATGGAAAAATTGAAAAATATAGAGCAACACGCTGAAACCGAATTCCCCTCGCTGCAATTTACCATTTTCCAACAGAGCGAGAGCGAGAGAAAGAGAGAGTCGTCCGCCCGAGAAATGAAAACCTAGGGGCATTTAACTCGAAAAAAATTCGTTTTATGCGAAGAATATGCGCTTCAAATCATAGTATGTGGCGATTTCTTCGTACTATGCGTATTATGCGGTGCCTATTCGTTAGAAGTGCACACATTCGATGTCCGAATACTGCATATAGACCATTCATACTGCGAATAATTTCGCATGAATCCTACTAAAATGTTTCCTTCTCTGATTGGTCACACGCCACAATATCGACTATTTTGAATTCAAAGTGCAACGACTTTTTTCATGTAAAAATTCAAGAAATACTTGACTGCAAGTGTTTGATTTGTACTTATTTCGGCTCACATTTTTTGCTGATCATTTTCGTTAACTTCAATCATTTGTACATATGGATTTTTTATTATTTATAATCCAGATGCTATTTCCAAGTATAATAAATCGTCGCACTTATTTTTTCAACGATTTTTATATCTACCAAAACTATCGGCGATTTTACTTCAATATTTGTATAATATAACATTTTGATTTTCGTTTTCATTCTTATTCTTTGCTATTATATTTTAATTTTGTGTTATATTTAAATTCAATTTTCATCAATTAAGAACAATCTCATTAGCAAGAGATTTGATAAATATTAAAGACAGAAATTGTTGATGTCAAATATTGTTTGAACGAAACTTAACGATACAACAGAATGTTGACATTGTGTTGATGCGTCTTAAATCGCATCGTGGCGTCATTATGTGCACGCGTATTCGCTTTTATGCGTAATATTCGTGACTATGTGCAAAATTCGACACACTTCACTGTGGCACACAATCTATGCGCGTTTATCCGTACAAATCACATATATGAAAAAGAGTAAAAAGCCCCTAGATGAAAACATTTCACAATTATTTGCGTAGCATACTGTTTCCGATTTTTTTTTTTCAAGTTTTATAAATTGAACTTTTCCGCAAGTTGTATTCTTGTTGATTTAAGTGGCGTAGTTATTTTGTTTGGGTTTTCGATGGTGTAACTTGTTCGGTTTTTTTTCGCTTCTCATTTTTATTCTGTCTCATCATTCTCAATGTTCTCGTCCCTTTTCTCAATTTCGATGCTCTCACTTTGGTCTCTCGCTCGCTCGATCGCTCTTTCTCTCATTTCCCGTGTTCACCTTGATTAATGCTGTGAATGGTGAAGATTCCACACTGAAATTCGTATACGAATGCGTAACTCTTGATTTCGTTTCAAAATGAACTTTACAAACAACACCATCAATATTGTCCCTTGTATGTGTGCCGTTCTTTGCTTTCTTTCGTCGCATTTGCCTTTTTCAGTATTTAAATGGTTTGTACTTTTTGCGTTACTGGTTTTTTTTTCAACTTTATCAGTACCGTTCGACAATACAACACACAGTACGTTTTCAATGGCGCTGCTGAAAGTCGAACTGACTCTATCGGTCTGTGCTTTGTGCTTCGATGTGGTGTTTATTACCAAAAAAAATATTTTTCCGGTGCGAGGAGAGAGAGAGAGAGAGAGAGAGAGAGAGAGAGAGAGACGTTTGCGTCTGTGGGAAAGAAGAACCAGTGGAATTCTGTTATCTCCACCCAAAGTTAGCATTACATGCAATTAGAGGGATAAAACTTTATCAACAATTTTCTTCGTGATATTCCACACTTGATAGAATACAACGACCGCACACACACACACACACACATTTACAAAGATATACAACATACTAAATTTGTCGGTATCTACCGATTGCCTGCCAACATTTCGAAACCCATGTCGGTTTTGCCGTTTGCATTGCAAGCAAACGAACGAGAGAGAGAAAGAGATTGAAAAGAGAACGAGGGAAAAAAATCCTCTACCACTTGATACATGCATCAAAGCTAATGTTCAACAATGATATCAAATCTGTGCTGGGGAATGGCTTTGATATGTCCTGAATTCCTTGAAGCAATTGATAAAAAGCCACTCACTTTTGTTCGGCTGTTCTTTGTTCGGTAGTCGTCATCATCGTCGTTTTGATTTCAGAAAGATCGTTCAGCAACGAGAAGCGTGAGGGCGTTTAAATGAGGGTAACTCAGCTGCACACACGCATCGCACACAATGACAATGAGAATCAATTAATTTCGCTTGCGATGAGTACATTTATTCGAATAGATAAAGTAGCGAATTATTATTATCCCAAGTTGTTTGAAAAGAACTGGTCAGAATGAGAGAAAATATGCACTTGCTACGCCAGCGATTCAATTACACGAAACTAAATTCATTATTCCACTCGCATAGTTTTTAATTTTTTTTCATTTTATGTTTCGTTTTTTTTCTCTTCTTGTTATTACTATTTTCAACAACAACAAAAAAACCATTTGATTCATTACTAATTTTTTTTTTTCTGTTCTTCTGTGCTTTTGTTTCAGTTATCATCGACTGCAAAGGTGGCACGTTGGTTTCAACAATTAAATTCCAACCCGACATCGTTATCGCGTCCAGAGAGTGGTTTTGTGTCGGGTGATTCACGTTCCGAACGCAATCCGGATGATCAACAACCGTTACGCGAAACAGATGAAATATGCGACGAGTATCTACTAGTGGAGGGAACCAGCAATTTATGGGGCAAATTAAGTGCAAAGAAGCGTCGAAAACTGTTGGGTTTGCGTTTGGGCAAAGTGACTACATTTTAAAATGCTGCATAGAGAGCGAGAACGAGATGCCGAAACAACATAAAAAAATAAACAATTATTTAGATGAGAACCACTACACATTTTCCATGGAAACAACAAAATCAACATGATAAATTTTAAGTGAGATAGAGAGAGAGAGAGAGAGAGAGAGAGAGAGAGAGAGCGATGGAGAGAATGTCATAGTGTGCTAATTGCACACAAAGATTGTTTAATCTCTTGTTATTCGCAATAATCAAATTGTGGCCGTATAAATAACAAGACCGCTAAACAATCGTTCCGACCGGAATATTGAATCGAAATAGCGAAATTTGAACGTATTTATTTTAATTCAATACGTTTTTAATTCATGTACACTCGATGAGAGAAGAGGCAAGAGGGCGCGCACACGCATCACACAGCCGGATTAATGGTGTTTACATTTTGAATTAGGGTTTTAATAAGTTTTCATTTTGTTTAATTTTTTTTCTCGTTTAGTTTCACTTTAATGCTCGAATGCAACAACAACGAAATTCCACGCGGTTTTTTTTAACATATCGAAATTAGGTTCATTTTGTATAGTAATTTTTGGATTACAGTCACCGGTTTTCATATTTAAAGTGTTTTTTCCCCATTTCGAAAGCAACGAACAATACGCGAGGTTATTTAGGTTAGGCTAATTTCGAGATTAACGATTTTGCGTTGAAATATTGTACTATTTAGAATTATAGGTAATTTAAATGAAATTCACTTGAAAAAATAGCGATTTGCACTCGGCCACGGAATTACATTTATTAATCGAAAACTCGGGCTAGAAGTCATTTCGAATCTATTCACAAAAATACAATTCGTTTTAAATTTGTATCAATGATGTTTTATCGATTGAGACATTTTGGAGGAAAAAAACCAACAACATTTAGGATAGTTTTGCAACATTTTAGAATATTTCTCATTCAAATCGATAATTGTATACGAAAAGAGATTGCATTAAATTATATATTGAGATTTCTATTTTTATTCAATTGAAAATGCATTTGGTGTGGCAATTGCAGAGTATTTTCGTTCAAAGAACGAGACGTAGATTCTTGCAGATTTTTATACCATTGTGCTTTCAAGCAGTAGTAGAGAAGTTACGCAATCAAATACACTGTACTTCAGTACTATTGATTGGTAAATAATCATGGCGGCTCCATATTATTGCAAAAAGCACAAATGGTATAAAGCCTTCACATGTTCTTTATGCAATAATTTGCATTCTCTGTCGATGAATGCATTAGTATTTGATATCGTTTGGTTTAATTTGGTGGAATTCGACATGCGACGAGTTTTCTAGCATTTGTTTTCGATTTTTCTTTGAAGGAATTTGTGCTTTTACTTTGACTCAGAATTTTTCTTTTCGAAACGCAAACGAATTTTTCGTTTTTTTTTTAAACGCTAACGATTTTTCTCTACAAAACCTGTTTTTTTAGGGTTACAGCGTTTGAATAGCTTTCATAATTAATGTATTCATGTTGAAGTGACGCACAAAAGCCCCGTAAAATCACTGTTCGTGAAATTTTTTGAACTAAATTCTGTTTAATGTGTGATTTTCATCTGCATGTTATTTTGTGAGCCGAAACTTTATTTCTTATAGAAAATTATATACAAACAAAAACAAGAACAATAAAAAAAACACGATAACAACCGAGAGTATATGCCATAAAGTTGGAAATATCTGTTTTGCGACTGCCTTTTATTTATCAAATGTCGTAGTTTAATTAATAAGTGATAATGAGATTCGTGAAAAAAAAACGAGAGAAGCCGTTTATATATTTATAGATATCAAACACATAATTAATGTTATATATTTGCAGCTCAAACAACAGTAACTGATTGAACATTCACAGATGTAAACGAACATAACTTTAAAAAAAATATATACATATACTCGAAATCGAAATGCTCAACATCGAAAACAGAACAAAAACTGATTGGTGAACAACATAGGTACAAGAACCGTTCTCAACATGTGCTCAATACAAAATATATATATTGGTCAAGTAAAACCACAAATGTTAATTGAGTTCATAGATTCTCTCGGCTGCATTATTACCAGTGTTATTTCCAAAAGGCAGACAAAAACACACAAAATAATTAAATATTTGGTTGCATTGATTTGAAATATTTGGAATGTTTAAATTTAAATATGAACAATGGATTCCATATTTCGTATTAAATTACAATTTTGCTAAATGTTTTGCAAATTAACACTAATTTTCTATGGAGAAAAAACGATCACAATTTTTGAACGGTTTATGCAAACCAAACAAACGATTCCCATTGCTCCAGGTGTTAGACATAGTTGAAACGAATAAGAGAGTTCGAGAAAATTTTAGGTTTAGATTTAATTTTGTTAGGTCAACAAAGCCATTTTTCATTGTGCTCCCTTTATTTTTGGAAATTAGAGATGTAATTAGAAAATTAGTGATAAATTGAGTAAAATGCGAATAATCTAGAAATTAGAGAGAAAAAAAAAAAATTCGGTTAGGGCTATTTCGATCAAATAGAAATTTGACGCGTTCAATAGAGACAGAAGAACAAAATTCGATAGATTCATGAAAATTCGTTTGCTTTTTTTTATCGTATTTTTTGCGTTAAAGACAAAATTTGAGACTGAATATATACACAAATTTAACATAATTAAAAATATTTCTGTGTGCGTTTTTTTCTTTTCTTTCCCTGTTTTTGGAATGCTTTTGCAAATCAACAGTGGTTCATTAAATTGCTTTGGCATAAATAATAATCCACCCTTTCCCCAGCAATCGAGGACACATATTTCAAAATAATGATGGCAGAGCTATGGCGCAGAAAAAAAACGCTAAATTCATAAATATCAAAGGTAAGTTATGCACGTGCAAAATTATGCATTAATGTGCATTCGTGACTAGAGATCATGTTGAATTGTTTTGAACCGTCGAATTTTTGTCTTTCTGCAAGCAACAAAGCCAACAATAACAGAGATAGAAAAAAGGCAAACTGGGAAAATTATTATCCATGGAATTTCCCAGGTATTTCTGGTTCGTCCACCCGACCAACCAACCAAGCGACCCACCGACAATCATTCTCATATAAATTCAAGTGTCTCTTTTTTTCCTTGAACTGCGAAAGAGGTGTGCCTGCGGCCAGACATCGTTCACATGATGGCATTAAGTTTGGAAAAGCGTTTATGATAAGAAGAAAAAACGCTCGTTTTAAATTATAACAACAAAAAAGTCCCGCACACAGACACATCACATTCATTTTGTCCGGTTAGAGAATTATTTAATTAATGAAATTAATGTACTGATCTCCTGATTTTATGGGGTAGCCTTAAATTTTTTTTTCGCAAATATTGTCGACCACAAAACCATAAATGTTAAGTTGCAAAGCATCGCTTTCTTTCCGGCCGGATAAGAAAGGTGTCCTGTGTGCATGAAACGAGAGAACGACGAAATGCACATACAAGTTCTGCGAATAAATGTTTCAAGTGGCTTGTGTCACATCCACCAACATAAATCGAACAATTTGCACCAAGCATATTCTTCGTGTGCCTTAGCCCGTGTTTGCAAAGTCTCGTTCGAGTGTGTGTGTGTGCCCATGCTCATGTCGGCGCCAATTTTCGGTGATTGAAATAGATCGGCTGTACACATTTTGTAATGGCCAAGTAAATGAGCAGATGGCATTTAATCGAGCTCACTTGCGTGAGGCACGTACCATCATCGAGCACTCCGCTCAGATTCAACGCGCGCGCGCACGCTCATGTACTCACACTGGTGAGTATCTCTATATGTATGATTATTATACTTTTAGCTAATTACTATTACGTTTATAACATTTTTTTGTTGTTGTTTTCGGTGAATGAAGAAAGAGAAGAAGTCGACCAAATATAGAGCCCACGGTATGTGTGTTTGGTGGTTGTGCATTTTGCAGCAGTTGAAGGTTCGCGGTATATCATGTCATCAGCAATAATATATGTATTGTGGAACGACTTTGGTGCGCGTTAAACTATATCCAGTGCCACAGACAAATGGGCGATAGGCGAACTTACATGTGCGCACACATTATGGGTATGTAATGTGTACAGGATGTATAAAGTAAAATGTGTATGTCATGTGCTGCTCTCTCTCTCTCTCTCTCTCTCTCTCTCTATCTCTGCCTGTTGTCTTTTTCTCGCTGCCGCTCTCAAAGCCCATTCGCACTCACGTGAGTATATTATATGTTCTCTAGAATTCCGTTATTTTTCATTTAAATAAATTTCAAGTTGGGTAAATGTGTGGCGTTCGCACACCTTTGTTGAGTGGCTGCGGCTGAAAAACGACTTTTCTGTCATTTCACTTCAGGCCAAGATAATTGGCACAACAGCACCCATTTAAGTCATACCATCTCACTAAGTTGGTCACCACATTCCATTTTATACCATCAATAAACAAAACATTGAGTTTCGATTGGGAAAATAACAGTTTTATTTTTTTTTAATTTAAGCTCGACGAGGAAGAAGTTTTGGGTTTTTTGGTTCATTCTTGTTTTATTTCAATAAAATTATTCTTGTTTCTATTTCAATATTTTGTTATTATTTAAAATCGATAAAAGGAGAAATTGTGTGTTTATTCTATAAAAAAAACCGTATTGTGTGAAGCCGAAAAAAGTAAAATGAGTGAGTCAAGTGAAAAAACGGATTACACGAAAATAGGAGATAAACGAGGGATTTTGCGCTTGGATATAAATAAGCCGCGAAATTCCTCCGGATCGGTTGAATTCCGGAATCAGCCAGAGCTCATCTCAGAGGTAACATCCATTTAGTTAAACATTCATTAAAATCATTTAAAACAGATGCTGAAATACAATTCCAAAGCAAAATAAACCGGAACAACTCGTTGAACTTTCCGTAACATTATGTAAAATTAAAAATTAAATGCCAAATAAAAAAAAAAGTAAAGGATGGCATTTATCACAAATCTCCGGTTTAATGGCACAACCAAATGCCGCTCAGCGTCATGAATGAAATTGTACAAAAATAAAACAGAAAATACTGTCGGAAAATACAAAAAAAAACAGAAGCGAGAGGATAAAATATAAGCAGGAAAATGTGTCCCCAGAGAGCTTTTCTTGAAATCGATGTGAAACATACGTTTTATATTGATGGTGAATGGTCGCAATTCAAAACGACAACACAAAAAATATATATTTAACAATAAAATAAATGGCACACCTTCTCCAGTGTACGAGAATGTGTTTCATGATCAACATAATATATACGGGGCGAATGGCATTTAGTTGAAACATGGAGCAGGTTTCTTAAGGTGCGGTCACACACTGAGCAAACACACACACACACACACACACAACATATATATTTCTTTCTTCAAAGCTTCCACAGCATAGATTTCCGAGCTCATTCATGTTTGGAGCATACGGGATGCGTGTTCATGTGTGGACCATGTCATTGCGAAAAAACGTAAAAATTTATATGTGTTTGTGTGTGTGTATTGAATGAATTAAAAAAAGAACGCATTATTTGGACCATTGAAAATAAGTAACGATATGGAAAATTCAGTTCGATATATTAGTCCAGTGTGACCATGAATTTATACATTATACCCGATAAAAAAAAACGGAATTGCCGTCATTTCATTTCATTTTATTTGATTTTGTTACATTCATTCATTTTAGCTCATAAGGGAAATGGTTTATACGCGGATAAAAAACGGCAATGGACATGAAATATGAGATTTGCTCTCAACCGTGCGAAAGAGAAAGAGACGAAAAAACGGACACACCGTTGACAAAAAATTACATCATAACAGTTATTTTTGCACACTATTTTATCCCAGTTTTGCCCGTTGCACCGAACGACAGAGTATTCGCATTTACGCTTGAATGCCATTTTATTATGGATATTCTTCTTTTACATGCAACGAATATAAATTAAAAGTTTTGACACGTTATTCCCTTTGCCAATTTCGTGTATTTTGTTTCTCTCCCTCTCCCCCACTCTTTCTCTTACACTTTTGGTTTGTCAACGGCATTGAGGAATATGCATCGGCGCTTAAGTATAGTGACCATTGTCAATAAAAACCGAAAATTTATGTGCTCAATATACTCAGTGCTACCTATCCACATGTGATTTATGTCTTGATTGAATCGCAACTTCAAATATTGCCCTGTGAATAGGTAAAGAGTCAAACTAATTATGATGCGATACAGATTCAGTTTCGAATGCATTGCCACAGCTGATGAGTAAGAGAGTGAGAGAAAGGGAGAAAGGAAGAGAAAGAAAGAGAAAGGGCCAGAAGGTGAGAGAGTTGGAAAATCAATTTTCAGCGATATGGCACACTTTTGGTTCGTCATCTATCACAAATGGGAGCATTGTTGCTTTTCCGTCCGCAGAGAGTGTGAAGCAGAGTGAGCAAC